TATGTCGTTGTCAGTTAGCCAAATAGTACCATTGGTTGCATTTGGAACCCATTTCATTATGCGTTTGTTGCCCTCATCAGCAATATAAATATTAGAATTTGAATCAACAGCAACCGCCTGTGGTTTATTCAAACCGGTCAATGTATTTGTTGCAGTTCCGGTTCCCGCGACAGTGGTACCATTATTAGAATCAGAAGAAAAGCGTTGTACTCGATCATTGTCAGTATCAGGTACATACATATATCCATTTGTGTCAAAAGTAACGTCCTCCGGATGGTTTAATAATATCGAAGTTGAACCCGGATCACTAGTATTACTACCTGCTACTACCACACCATTTGATGAACATTGGTCCCATTTTTCAATGTTATGGCCGTCCTTGTCACATACGTAGATAGAATCATTTGCACCAATAGACAATGCCAATGGTTTCTTAAACCCAGTAGCAACAACCACACCTGTTTGATTCCAACGAAGATCTCTACCTAAAAGAATCAATGACAATACATATAAGTTAATGATTGATCAATAAGTGACTGACAAGTATTATTCACTGTTGAACTTAGTATTGCTAAAAAGAAAGAAACAAAAATCATTATTGATGAGTAACTTTACTTGAAGATATACTTCGAATACAGCCAATGATATCTGTTACTGTGGTGGTTGCTTCAGTAAATAAAAAAAGCATACGTTTCATTGTTCATTCTGAAGAAAAAACATTTTTTTTCTTGTTACTTTCAGTCGAACTGCTAGTTGTTGATGTGCTTGTGCTTGAACTTGTTGATGTTGTTGCTTCAATAAAATAAAATATAGTGAAACAGACATATCACGTAACAATACATTTCTCCTCACATGATGATGTAATTGTTGTTGTTGTGGTCGTACTTGAAGTTGTTGTTGTATCTGTCGTCGCAGCTTAAGTAAAAATAAAAGGAAATTATGTAAAATTTGTGTGACATTCGAACTTGAACTGGTCGCTGTTGTAGTTGTTACTTGAAAAACAATCATAAGTGTTTACTGTCAATTTTCATTTTTGACAACTTACTCGTTGTAGTCGTTACTGTGTCTGATCTTGTTGCTACCAAAATAAACAAAAATTTATCGCTTGTATAACAAAAAAAAAATGTAAGAAATCGGAAGTGTTCTGCTATCAATGTTCTTGATGATAATATTTGTAGAGATATTTCGGATTTTAGCTTGTCTAATTGATAAATATTATGACCATACTCAGAAGGTAAAGGTATAAGAAGAAAATACATAACTACAGAGAGAAAATATAGGAAGCAAAGAGATAATAAATAAATTGGCATGATCATGATATTCTTCGTTAATCGAATTGATATCTTTGAAATTCGTTTTCAAACTAGTTTCAAAAGGTTCTATGACAAAAATACGTTTGAGAGTTATATATGTGCTGCCATCAATTAAGCAATCATTCCAACTTTTCGATTCGCTCATGAAAATCCCATGATATATTCTTGTGTTGGTATGATGAGAAAGAATGAATGTTTTTCAAAAATCGTTTTTCTTCAAATAAAGATAAAATATCTGCATACTTTTGTTGACAAAGATTCAAATAACGTGGATATTAGCTATTCTAACAAGCTATTATGTACTTATCTAACTCCCTGTCAATATCATTTTCTGTTTCCAAGAATTATCTTGAACTATGTTCGATAAATTATAACTTACAAGGGAAGCCAAATTATTGACAAATCACTTTTACGACTTTAGTGTGACCAATTTGTGGTACTTGTTTAGTGATTATCTAACATAACAATTATTCCTGCTAGTGGTACGTCTACAGGTAAAGTTCTGGTAATCAGTATTTGCATTAGTCTATTTACTCGATATTAATAGAACAGAAAAATGAAAAAGAACTACTTGTTACTATGATCGGATCCCAGACATTTTACACTGAAAATATGCCAGAGCATGTAGAAATGGTGCTACATTGCACATTGTTTCCATAATAGTATGTACAATCAAGGATATTTCAGCTGTTTCTTGTACAGATAGTGTGTATGTGGGTATTGGCACTGTTCTGCAATTCGTCCAAGACTATACTGTGTGTCCAAGAAATTGTTGAAATTATCCTTTATTTATACATATTATTAAGGAAGCGTCATGAAATTTAGTACTATTTCTACATACTCTGGTGTATTTTCTATACAAAATGTCTTGGACTTGATTCCAATGATGCTAATTCTTTTTTTATGATTCTCTTCAATAAATATAATTAACATATAGACCAATGTGAACATTTATTAGCAGAACTTTATCCTTAAGTTCACTCCTAATCAGAAAAATTACAATATTAGTTATTAATTGAGCAAGCTACGCGCAGAGATACCATTAACATTGTGAAAAAGATTTATCAATTTTTTGTCTGTTCTCCTCAATATTTAAGCTTAATAGTGATGTAGATTCATTCTTCTCTCAATTGATCAAAAGAAAAACACAAATCTTGTGAATATTAATAAAATACTTGTGGTATTTATGAAAAATTTCTCACTAAAGTTGAAACAAATTATATTCTCTACAGAGTTTGATTTGATAATAAATTTCAAGACCAAAGTGGATTGAATCCATTCTGAATTTGAGTCTGTTTGAGGCGAGTATTTTATCCATTGAGCATACTTAGTTTAGGCCAACTTTAATAAACTGTTATATGTATTAGCTCAGATTACATCACCCAGAAAATATCCAGACAAACTGCTAGAAGAAAACAAGGATCGAACGTATGAGAACTATCCGATGATTTTCTTTGGTGTCCAACACAAAGGTTGAAGCCAAATCCGATGATACAAAGAATGTTCAACATTACATATTAAAAATTAATTCAAAAGGTGTAGCATGATAAAGTGCCACAGATTGAACAGCATATGATGATCAAGTGAAATACCTAGTGTTGGTCTAACCAGAAAAATTAAAGAAAACTTACGTTTAAAAATTGTACAACTGCTCCTCAAAAAAAGTACATTTATCCAAAAGTCTGATCGATATTTGCCGAATAAGGCGCATTTCATCGCTAGCAGACATTTTAGAATCAGTTAATAAATGAAACACTTAATATTAGTCTTAAATAATAGGTTTTAGAGATCATAGCATTAATAAAGTACTATTATTTACAATAAACTATATGTCAATTGATAGAACTGCAATAGATTTGTCGTATTATGTGAGTTTTGTGCACGATACATGTTGTAGTGTAACTTATACGAGGACATATTCAACTGTGGTGTATGTCTAAGTTTCTGAAGAATTTTTAATCTTATGATTCTTCTTAGTTATGGGGAAGTGCGCACCAATCGATAGAGTTCGTCGAATGATATAAATTTCGGAAGTGGCATCGAGAGAGAACCGAATATCTCTAGAGAACATTTTTTTATTTTGCGCTATAGTAAAAACTAATAATTTTATTTATATTTAATTGTTTCTTATGTTGATTCAAATTTTAAACATACTGAGCTATCGAACTCATTGAACTCTATATGATACACAGCAGTTCATACTTGACACATGTGACTGGCCGAATCCCACTAGAAAAAGTTTGAATCGAATATTCACTTTCCTTATATCATGTGACGAGGCTTATTATCGATGAAATGATTCGTCTCATCCATACAAATTATGGGTGATTAGAAAATTTTGACAGACAGAAATTAATCTCTATCAGATATTGTCTTAGACTTTCGAATTAATTTAGTTAACTAACTTCTTTTGAATTCATACCGATGATGATAATTGTTGCAAGAACTGCTGCCAGAAGAATACAGCATAATGAAACTATTACAGCAATCCAACAACATCGACTTGTTATAAATGCTCTATGTGTTGTCAATTACAATTGATCTAAGTCAAAATAACAAAAATCTATTTAGAACATAGTTACCTTTTTTTCTTGTTGTTTTCTTTACTATTTTCTCGATTATTCATAGAGAGGAGTAACGCACCAAGCTGCCTATCTCTTACAATAAATTCTTTGTTTATAGGTAAAATTTGATTTCTGTTTGAAATTGATGCTGAGAGGTCGAATTTTGATACGACGGATAAATCTTTGAACTAAAGAAAAGAATCAAGTACATGAACATTAAATAAGTGCATACGAATAAAAATGATTTTCCACTTTTTAATAAGAACTATTATCGATTTGCTGAGATCGTATTCAGTAGTTAATACCTGGCTTTTCGAATCTGGATTTTCTTATAGTATAAAACCTGCTATTATGTTTTACGACGCTCAAGGTAGACACCTTACACACATAAGAGGAATAAACTTTCATTATAAAAGACTTCTAGTAGTCGAAAACTTTCTCATGATACATTGTCTGATTTAACTAATACATTGATTTCATCGCTAACTGAATAACATGGATTTATTTTGAAAAGAAAATATCGGGCAGCCTTATTAAATGTTCAGATACTCTCAGCATATTCTACAATTCACTAATTGGAAAAGCTTTTAGTACTCAAAATCAGAAATATTCGTTACTGATTATGGAACATTTCAGATTGACATTTCAACTTCAAACTTTGACCGATTTACATATGAGTGTATAAAGATATACGAAATTCAGATCGTATTATTATGCTCAGTTTTTCTTATGGGATTCTCTTGAATTTAAATGATGACGGTTATAATCATTGCCTTTTTCAACGTAGTAATTCTATGACGTGCTAAATCATTTCTTGGTGATGGTTTTACGTTCGGACGGCTCATTCAGTTATAATAAATTCTGTGGATTGAACTTTAGCCTGGTCACATTGTTCGCATCAGTCTATTTATATAGACTAATTGCAGAGGCATGATATCGTCGGAGAAAAGTTGATATGGACAACTTTTAAATCGTACAGTCAACAGAGTTTCGTTTGTTATATATCAACAAAATATATTCCTGACTGTCATTTCTTTTGATGTAGGAAAAAATCGAGTTTTCCAACTTTATAAATATTCTATGATTACTCGAGTAAATGAAATTTCTAAATAACCTTAGAATTATTATCGCGCACCAATGAAACCCCTTTAGAAAGGACAATTTAATAAGCAGATGCAAAACAGAATCCATATATTTGCATGCAAATATGATATTAAGATATAGTTGTTAGCATTGATAATATGTACTTTTCGAGTAATTTGCTGTGCGACTGAGTTATCAATATTCTTTCGCAATGAAAATGAGAATTATTATTAGAATTGGATGTGGTAAATATTAGCGGGGATAATGGTGAGATAAATGTCTACAGTCATACCTACATTTTGATATTACCTTGCTTTTCTTTACACAACTGCTGTTAAAATCTGTCGAGACGTTTCGATAGAAAAGAAATATCTTGAGACATTCCTCCACTAAAGTATTCTTTTCTTGCAAATGCTACGTTTTTAAGAGCTGAAATTTCTCATTTAATAAAAATTGCATCAGTTATGGCAATGAAACACGATTTCAGCTAAAAGGTCGCTAATTAATCTCAATTAATTAATGATTTTTCCGATATTGCAGAAATCACGCATAATCGATGACTTTCCAATAAACTTCAGTGCCAAGTATTACTATGCGAAGAGAAGACGTTTGCATATAGGTATAAAAGATTGGTCGTGTTGTCGATACCAATATTTGTATCAACTGCAGTCACAGCCGCGGTGAGTCTACCATTAGCTTCATAAAAGAAAATCTTGAATTACTAATACTAACTGTGA